GTTTGTGTTTACCTTTCCCTGAATGGCAGTGATTGCTCAATGCGCGCCCTCAGTCAGTGTAAAGCAGCAGTTCCAATGAATCAGCAGTCTCTCTGCCCCTCCTCTTCTTCTCACACTTTAGCCGATAGCTGACGGCAGCAGTCTTGGCCGTAGCTTATCAACCAACAGCCGCGGCGGTGGCAGCAGCAGCCACTTTTTCTAGCACACACTAGTAACAGCATTGGTACAGTCAGGTGCAACTCTGAGGTCTAACCAAACGACCGATCACTGGCTGGTGAGTGTGTGCAAGTGGCAGTTGTCAGCATGGGCGGTGGCAACGCTGTCAGTGCGCCGTAGTCGTCGTCGCCGCCGCTCTCATTGTCAGTTGTCTCACAGCAGCCTGCCTGTTATGCCCGAAATCGAGCATGGCCATCATCTTCATCTCTCATTTCTGACTTTTAACATCTCACACTTCTCCTTCTCCACTCTCTCTCTCTCCAGTGCAAGCCCACTTCATCGANTGGTGAGTGTGTGCAAGTGGCAGTTGTCAGCATGGGCGGTGGCAACGCTGTCAGTGCGCCGTAGTCGTCGTCGCCGCCGCTCTCATTGTCAGTTGTCTCACAGCAGCCTGCCTGTTATGCCCGAAATCGAGCATGGCCATCATCTTCATCTCTCATTTCTGACTTTTAACATCTCACACTTCTCCTTCTCCACTCTCTCTCTCTCCAGTGCAAGCCCACTTCATCGACCCGTTTGAGGACAGCGAAGAGGGCCTGTACTCCTTTCAGGAGAACGAGGCGGGCCAGGACCTGGACTACGAACCGGGCCTCGAGCTTGACGACATTGGCGAAGGCGCCCATTGGGTTGCACCTGGCGAAGGCTGCCGGCACACCTCTCTCTCCAACACCACCGCTCACCAACTTCAAAACTCCTCTAATCACTCTAGTCATCACCTCAACGGCTGTATCTCACACGTTTACCTTTCTAGCGCATCTTCACCTGGAGCGGATCCACATTCCGCTGTCGGTTTGTGAGTGAGTCTGATTTTAGTGTTTTGTTTACAACTGATCTAATGTTTTGTTATTTTACACAGGCACGACAAGAAGCAACTTTGACTGAAGCTGACCCCCTGGTTCATCTCTTCTAATGTCGTCAACTCTTTTGCGGCATCATCAACCAACTCTCAGGGCACTCTGAGTCGCGGTCTGCGTCGTTTTACCCGAGCACTCAGCAGTTTCGAGTGTCGCTTGACTTGTAAGTACTTGGTTTGGCCAAGTTGATTCGGGATTCTAATTGCTTGAACTATTCTAGTCTGGTGGAGCAAAACTCGTGGGATCTGATTCCGCCTATTGTTTGGCAGTGTGGGGACTACCTGCAAGTATCGGACTGCTGTCTGGACACGGAGGACATCTTTCGGCGGTCAGCTGTGGTTCGCCTAGTGAAGGACGTTCAGTCGAAGACCAATTAGGGGATGAAGGTGGAGACGGAGGGTGCTGATGCCACAGTCCATGTTGCCGCTGTCAATCTCAAGTCATTTCTGCGGGAGTTGGCGGAGCCATTGCTCACATTTGACCTGTTCGATGAGGTGATCAACTTTCAGCAGGTGTCGGGAGGTCCTTCTGCTGCGCAACGACAGGAGAAGACTAATGTTGCGAGGACACTGGTTACTGGACGTCTGCCGGAGGCCAACTACCAACTGCTGAAGTATATTGTGACTTTTCTGGTACGCGCTTTGGACCACTCGGAGTTTAACAAGATGAATGCGTCTAATTTGGTTATTTTATTTGGACCAAACCTGCTGTGGTCAAGAAGAGTCAACGAAAAACAGGCTTTCAGTTTACTGGACGCTATTACGGCGATCAATCATTTTACCGAGTACATTCTTTGCAACTATGATCAGATTTTTGACCGTTGATTACTGTTGTTTATTTGGACATATTTAAGTTTTGTTTAAACTGTTTACTTTTATTGCGTTCTAATTGCATTATTTGTAGTAGATGCATGCAAATTTTTTAAATCAGCGAGGTGAAAATATTTA